GGGATGTATTGCCCCTGTGAAGACAAATTTCTTAGGAAATGTTCATTATTCATTGCCATGTACATTGCTGATATTGGAACATTCAAAACTTTATCGACAAGATAAACACTTTTTGGAGTGTGAGGGTCATACTTTGTCTAACTGTAAAAATCCTTATAGTTAATCATAAGCTTTGCACTAACGTTAACAGCCTGGGGGACTGGGAGAGCTGACGCCCCAACTTTTTCAAAAAATATATTTAGAGTGGGTTGAGCTCGTTCTTAAGAGGTGTTTTTTAAAACTCCATAGTAGAAGTGAAGACTTAGCCCAGCACTTCATAAAGCTTATTAAAAATTCAGATAAAGCATCGTAATCGGACAGAAGTAGAATAAAAGCTAAATTGAACAGCCATATAAACACATCGTTACCTGATTGCAGTGTAGATCTTTCCCTGCGATTTCATACTGCTTGGAATATATGTCTCAGCGACAATATGCCGGTACAGTGAATTGCCCAGTTTTGATCGAAGCAAGTAAGATGAACATCTTGGCTTTGAATTCAACTGCCCGCGTAGCTCGTTGTACAGAAGCAACAGAGCTTCTTTGTTGTTGCTGTTCATTGCCTCTTGGGCTTCTAGAAAACAATCTCTATCCATTTTCAGAAGAAATTGCGTGCGGTAAATGTTAACGATACTAGTATCTCGAAAGTCGAAAGTCGAAAATAGTGAGGTACGCTTGCTGTACTTGAGGGAGTTGATAAAATGCACCAATAAAATGCACTGTTAGAATAAACATGGAACATCGTAACCAATCATAGACATTATTCCAAACAAAGTTCAAGGTCAAAAAACCAGCTAGTGCCTCAAAATATTCTCCTTATGCCTCAAAATTTTCCTTGGTACCTCAAAATTTCCTCAAGTCCCTCAGAAACCATGGTAACTGCAAGTTTTAGCCAATCAAAATGCTCGTTCAAGCTTGGGTACCTCAGTAGCCGCTGACAAGTACCTCAAAAAAATCGCTTTGCTTCAAAAAGCAAACTATAAAAACTGGAATCAGATTTGAGTATTTTGCGATCAGATACTGAACGCTGATCGCAAATAGTAACTTAACTCAGTTAACTGGACTAAAACCTATGATCTCAATTATTACGTAATTCTTTGAAAATTTTATGTACCTCGCGTGAGGGTCTTGAGGTACCCTAGATCCGCCACTGATCAATAGCTCTTTGGAATTTTTGGAAAACAATCAGGTCTTATCTTATTAATAACAGTTTGGAAAGCCTCATCTTCGTCTTCTTTGTTCTGACATTCTTTTGCATTTGTACAATTGGACATTTGTCGTGGAGCCATGAAATTTGGTCGGCAGTCCCAGTGGTATCTGGCATCGGCAGCATAAAGGTCACTAACTGCCCCTAGTACTCTGGTGCGTACTTGCTCTGCTCATTTATCATTACGTATGTCACACGCATGTAATATCGTTTCTTTAAATGACTTTTGCCCCACACCACCATCTGCCATCTTACACAAGGTAAGTGAATGTCATCGACTATGGTGACGGGGATCCTTTCGCATAAAACATTTTTCACCACAAAAAACACAGTCTTCCTGGAAAGAAAACGTTGTTCTTGAATTTGATTGTCGTGTACGTTTTACAACAAATGAGCAAGTTGTAGCATCAGTTTTTTCTTGACTCACGCTTTGACGCTCTAAATGACGCTTTATATAGGTCAGTGAAGTATACGATGATACACATGACTTGCAACATTGTATTTGAATGTCAGGATTCCCTTCAAGGATTCTCTTTTTCTAATCATTCATGAATGGAATCTCCTCTAGTTTTGCTCGTGTCAATGATTTTCTTCACTCTTTCTTTACATGCCTTTATTAACACTTTGCTTGTGTCCTCACATTAAAAAAAAAACATTCATCTATCTTCGAAAATTTCCATAGGGACTTCCAATTATTAAATAACAGTACAAATTGCCCACATAAATTTTTTTTCAATAATGTAGAAATAATTGTTGAAAAACCTTTTTCCGTAGTTCTTGCAATAAACATGATTGTTTTACTAATGATTGAGCTACTTCATGTAAATTTTGTAAAATTATTTTGTGACTTAGGCATAAGCCGTATGCAAAAAATAATTATTTCTTAATGTTTATGCCCAAATACTGATCGTTTACCACACAATAAATCTTCTATTCTTGCTGTACCCTGTAGCGTAACATTTCAAACAAAGAGCATTGTTTGTTTTTCAATATGGAGTCCATTTTAAATAGAAGTACGCAGCCAAAAGCTCCATATTTCACTTCCCTAAAGATTGTTAAATTGGCACACTGAAAATTATAAATTCAAAAACAAATTACATAAATACAAAAACTCTAAAAATCTGTTTGGGGTCCTCCAAAACAAAGTTAAGCCTTTGGCAATTAGTTAAAAAGTAATTAGAAATTAACAGGAATCTAATCCAATAGACACCAGAAATATAAAACATAAAAATCATGTCTAGCTGACATCAATTGACTCGATACGGTTAAAAAACTCAGCCCTACGTTAAAAACGATTACATGGTGGTAATTTTCGTTCCAGTGCTGAGTTCGACACATGGCGATGTTAGAACGTTCAGGGGCTGTTTACATGATCCCAGTTAACCGGGATTTAGTTAGGCGTGAAATGATTTTGAGGGATTGATAGGGGCCAAGACTTCAAGGTTAAAAATTTGTACTGTTTGTTAAATGCCGCAGTTCATTTCTGTTGTAATTCTCAAATTATGCCAAATTGGTTGTTTTAATTTTATAGTTTTGCGTAGTTATTAAACCAGAATATTGTGAAATTGCTCGAGAAGATTTATCTGATGACGAGTATTGAATTGTTTCCTTTTGCCAACATTATTTAACGCTTGGCTGAATCACGGCTAACCGGGCTTCTGCAAACAGCCCATAATTGGAGTCGCAAATTCAACCCGATTAGCTAAAACTGGGTTGAAATTTCAGCACCGGGCTTGAACTCAGCACAGGGTTGAAAATTTGGCTTATAATCGCGCGTTTGATATAACGAATGATTTGTATTAAGACTGAGCTGAAGTTTAAACTCACTTAACGGAGCTCAATTCAGCACAGGGTTGAAAATGCTCCATGGCTGTGCAACTGGCTGCTGTATATTTAATTAGTTTATTGGCTGCCGTAAGCCATTTCATCATTCCTATTGGTCAGAAATTGCAAATGACTGGCTGCCACTATGGTAATCACATGTGTAATAAGATATGCGTGACACAAAAAATTTCAAAAGAGTGACTCTACTGTATATTTACTATACTGTAGCTGATCTAAGCTTCAGTCGCGATAGTTGGCGTAAGCAAGTTCTTCCAGTGTTCGGCGGCATTTTTGAGCGCTTTCCGGCACGCGTGTCATATTTTTCATGATATTCATCATGTTGAATAATGTTGGTCACGAATGAATGTTTCCTCCAAGTGAGCGCGCATGAAAAGCTATCACCTCAGCAAATGTAACTTTACGCATGCGCAGAGTAACTCATTTTATACTTTAGACGAAGATGGCGGCACAAAACGTGATAGCTGATATAATGTTAGAAGACCAAATTCATTTATCGAAAGTGGTTTTATCCAATCTACGATACTTCCGAAACTGCTCAGCATCTTCAACATCCAGCTCATGGACAATATTTGTAGCTCCCTGTGTGGGCCGTCGAGAAATTCCACACTTTGTACAGGTAGTTTATTTAGCTGCTTTCAAACGCCTTCGCCGTAGCCGCAATAAAAGTGGAAAAAGCAACATTTCTTTGTCTTCTACACCTGACGACGAATCAAACATACCATAAGCAGCAGCCATTTTGCTTTGAATAGCAAATATTACCGTAGACAGAGCATGCGTAAAGAATACATTTGCTGAGGCGATAGCTTTTCATGCGCGCACACTTGGAAGAAACATTCATTCCTGACCGAAATTATTCAACATGTTGAATATCTGGTAATTATGACACGGGTGCCGGAAAGCGCTCAAGTTTTCACTCATTTTGCATTTTATCTAACACAGACATTTGTTTTAATCGATTGCTGTTTTCCAACTTTATACATAACATTTTTCGTTTGCAGATGGCTTGTCTTCTGGTTTTAGTGTGGCATCTTTGATTTCATCCAAGTCCACTCCAAGTAGCAAAAAATGTCGGTCAACTTCGTAGAAATGCCCGGCTGGACTTCTACAGTAGAAAAACACAGGACTGCGGTCTATGCGTATATTTTACCGATATATTAAATAGCTCTTGAGATATTTGATGCGAACGGTAATAAACTGTAACACGAGTAGGACTGAGAATGACCATAACAGGCTTGCGAACGAAAAATCTTCCGATTGTAGAATGGAATATGCAAATCTATGGGTGTTTTCCATTAACAAAGTAAGCGGAGAATCATCAAAAAAGCATTTTGACATGATGTTGAAATGTGGCAGGTGTACAAACAGCTTGGATATATCCAATAATCAAAAGCAAAAGGGAAAAGGAAGATTTGTCAAAAATTTCTCAAATCTTTGGAGTGAAGTGAAACATGATCTGTATTTCATTGAATAAATTTGACAAATTTCATTGCATAAAGTTTTACTTAAATAATTGAATTCGACTATTTGCCAATATCAACTAGCTTTCATACTAAAAACATTTATGAAAAAATAAAAACCGTTCAGGTCCGAAACGATGTTTTTCATTTGTTTCAACGTAAAAAGCCACTATTCCTGCATTCCAAAATCTATAAAAAAAACATCATAACAGTTACAAGGTTACTGGCGGTGGATACTGAATTGTCAAAAATTAATTTTATTTGTTATTTGCAGAATTCAACTACATTTAAATGTCCACAACAAACACTTATCATAACATCAGACTGTTTCTTGTAGCAAGATACATTGATGATTAGATGCTGGATAGATCATATGACTGGAGTTATTCAATTCTTAACTCCTCTCTGTATTCTGCGATGAGGTAAATCTCCAACGCTCAAAAATCGAAATAATTTTGAGTCACAGCCATGCATATATTTAACAAAATACGAATGACGAACATACAATTTAAATTCATTTAACAAGATGAATGCCATGTATTGCGAGGGATACATTGCCACTACATGACTATACATTCGAATTAGTAATATTTTCAGTCCCATTATAAATATCTTAAGTAATCATATCCATTTGCGGAGATTACAATTTTTCACAGTATATATTACATAATTAATTATATGACTTCAGTATCGAGTGAGAAAATGTTTAAATGAAAAGTCATTAAATTTAAAAGCGAGACAATAAAACTTATGAGTAGATAGTGTAAACAAATCCTGAACAAATACACGATGTTCTTAATTATTTATCATTAAACTATTTATCCCAGGCGAGAGAAGTCTTTAAATTCGTAATCACTCTTTACAGCTACCAAGTCGCGAAATTCTTCTTTTTTGTTGTTGTCAAGAACGCTATGACTGAGGTCAGCAATGATGTTTGAGCCGACTTTGTCGCCCTTCTCGTCACCAAATTTATAAACTCGTATCTCTTCTTGTATTTCTTGTCTTTCTAACAGCGACTTGTACACGTCATCAAAAGAGCTCTGCTTCTCTAAATTAGCTGCAGTAAGCTCATTATTATTAACTATAATGATTTTTGGTTTTTGTCCATCATGGGAGTGAGGTATGTTGGACAGCGGTCGAATTCTTATTTCGTAAGATGGATCGATATGGCGTAATTCAATGAACTCAGAAGCATTGGAAAATAATGTATTATCAATTTCGAGTCTCAAGACGCCGTCTGTCTTTGCTTTATTGACTTTGAGGTACAAATGAAGATATGGCATCTCACTAGTCAGACGAGCTATGCCATAATTGCCACAAAGCCAAGAAAAACTGTAAAAGTTGAAAACAAAAGTATTTGACAGTAAAGCAGTGCGAAGCTTGCTTGCCATGTCAAATGAATGAAAAAGATGAGAAACACATACCTTCTTAATTTTTTATGCACGTCCTCTTAAATTTTGCAATCCTTGTTCAAGAATTTTTTTAGTGACTTCACTCTTTCCGAGACCCTGTATTACATCTAAAAAAATTAACTAAGGATCAACCGCACGGTTCTTATCAAATGAAAGAGACGGAAAACATTATGTTTAATACAATTTTTAATAAGCATTTAAATTTAAACCCTAAGTTGAGAAAACAAGTTCCGGTCACACACAGCAACATTATTTAGTTTCATATTAAAATTGAAAAGTCAATTTATTGCCATCGAGCATCTAAAATTAACACAATTGATACCTTGCGATCATCTAACTGACAAATTATTTTGATAGCTGTTGCTTACTGTCAAAATGCTTCTTGTGATCAGGTTTACTTTTCCAGTGAGTAGAGCTAATGACTTTGTGCACCAGAAGAGGAAGTTCAGGAAAACGTTGCAGGAAATATCTTTTATAATTGCCTTGCTTCACATATTGTAATAGATGCGGACGAGGCTTATCTTGCCAATGTTGGTCAACTTTTCGTATAAATCTTAAGCATCCTGCCCATGTAGACTCGTACTTTAGAGTTCTTATACTGTCGTTCACTTCAAAGTTGATCAAATCTTTGACGACTTCATCATCAATACGCTTCATCCATTCCGTGGAACTATACAACTGCTTATAAACGTCTGAAATGGGAGAATTTTGACTTTGTGAATGTTTCACCTCAAGTTGGTTCCCCATATCACGCAGCATGTTAAATTTCTCTTCGTCTGATTGTAGATAAGGGTGTTTTAACGCCTCATTGGCAGATGGTCTGTCTTCTGGTGAATGTTGTAGCATTCGCGATAAAAGGTCTTTGAACGTGGCATCCTTGATTTCGCCCAATCCAACTGGGTTTCCATTCAAAATGTTGTCTAGTATATGCCGTTCCAAAAGGATGTTTTCCCTTTGTTGCAACATAATAAGCCACCATTCCGGCATTCTATTTTCAATAAAAATTGTCATAAGCAGTCAGTGGTGGATACTAAAACCTTAGAGATTAAATTTATTTGCGATTTTCAGAACTCAACAATAAATGTGCAGCTGAAAAAAGTCTAAAAAATGTTCTCCAAATAGAATTGTAGCCATATATACGTATTAAAAGCAATCTAAATAAGGAACATACAATTGTAACTGTAACACGATTAACAAAAATTAATTTATTTCTATTTAAATTTATAGGTTGACACTATATGACGATACAATCGAGGTAAAGAAAAAAATTGAGGTAAAGTCAGTATCACTACCAAATACCAATATTTAATTAAATGCAAATAAAACATTGAGCTGTAGTTGGACCTCTAGTTCTACTTCAAGAACTTACCATAACGTCAGACTCTTTTTTGTAACGAACTTTCTTAATTGTATCATCTGATGCGTCATATGACTCTGGAGCTATCCAATTTTTAAAACCTCTTTGTATGCTTTGATGTGTCCAAGTTTCATCAGATAACATATGACTTATACCAAAGTCAGCGATTAAAAAACATCCTTGTACATCTCGAAGAACGTTCGAGGGTCTTAAATCCCGATGAAGAATAGGATGCACACCGCTGTGAAGATCAGCTAAACCTATTAAAATCTGCATAAGAATTGTAGGAAGTGCTTCTTGAAGATCTTGCAAAGTATAATATTTCACATAACTGTCTAACGATTCTTCACACAAATCCAATATCATGTACAAATACTCTTCGTCAAGGTTCTCTTCTAAATGCCAAATATTCAAAACATAATTTGATTGCTTTGCATTAAGACCATTCAAAATTTCTTTTTCTCGATTTGCATAGTCTACGCCGCTATCTTTGCGTATTCGCTTTACTGCTTTTCCATAAACATCGTTTCCCAGGGCAAGGTAAACACGGGTTCAATCACTTCCCTTACCAAGCAAAAACTCCTCCTTGAAAATTACACGCAATTCACTGAGCAGTGTAACATTTTCTGGATGTTTGCGTCCATATTCTTCCATCCTTTTAAACTTTTTCTGATGCATTATTGATTTATCAAAACATTTCCATGGTTGACGCAACAATTCTTGAACTTAAAGGAGAAGTAATAAATTCTGCAATTCACAGTTTTACTTGTTTTGGCAATATCACATAACATATAACATTGATGTGTTTTTCTCTGGATGAGAAAACACGGATGTTTTAACTTGATATGGATATAAAATTTACTCCGGTAGAAATGAGTTGGTCATCATACAATTCACGCCCAATAATCGACGTTCCACGATTAGTTCATTGCATGACTATACCAACCTTTAACTTAATAAAGCCAGTGGCGGATCTAGGGTACGTCAAAATAAATTGCTGCAGCTCATGCTGGGATATATTCCCATTTCCAAATACATAGAGGGAAGTCCATTGATAAAGTTTAATATTTTGAAATTCAAATCCAATAGTTTTGGTTTGAACATATTTTGAATTTAAAATTGGGCATCTATAATTCATTTTGACAAGCGCTAGATCTGCTATACTAGATTGAGCAATTCTGCAATAGATAAAACACACTTTGTTTTCACATTAACATAAAATATGAAATTTAGTATCTGAATGTTAAAAAGTTATATGACTAAAAATACTCTTAAAATAAATTGCATTTTTTGAACCGGAGAAACAGAAGCGCCACAAGTGCTCCGGACAAACAATGCAAAGAATTTATAAGGAAAGAGAGACTTTTTACGATTCACGAGAAAAAATTGCTTTTGCAAACAAGTAGAAAACCCTATTATGTTCCAACGTTACAGTGGGAAAATGCATATAATTTAGCAATATCGTTAAAACTGAAGAATTATTTCTATGGCTGTAACTTACTAGGAACACGTTTTTCCATATCAGGTCTTAAGATCCATTCGTTTAACCTCATGATTCTGTGCACCAGAAGAGGAAGCTCTGGTAAAACCCGTACAAAATACTCTTTATAATTGCCTTCCTTGATATATGGTGACAGTTTTGTACGATGCTCATCATGCCAATGCTGATCAACGTTTTGTATGAATCTTAAGCATCCTAACCATGTAGAGTCGTAGAGTTTCTTGTTGAAATGATCATCGAATTCATGAATGAGACGGATCTTCCAATTGTTTAGACCATTTAACTGCTCATGGACATCTGAGCTGAGAGGATGATCTAAACGCGGTATCTTTATCTCCGGTTGATTCCCAACTTCACACAGCAAGTCAAACTTTTTTTCATCAGATAATAGATAAGGGTGTTTTAAAGCCTCCTTTGCAGATGGCCTGAGTTCGGGTTTATGTTGTAGCATCCATGAAAGAAGATCATTTAGTTCGACATTACTGATTTCCTTCAAGCCAACAGGTTTTCCATCCAACAAATTTTGAAGTATGCACACTTTAGTACCAAAAGGATGTTTTCCTTTTGTTGCAACAAAGTAAGCCACCATTCCTGCATTCTAAAATAAATTAAACATAACAGAGTACGTAAAATGTAAAAACTAAATTTACGTACAATTTGCAAATAGTAACAACCCAATACCTACCATTACATCAGACTCTGGTTTGTAACGTGCTTTATCAAATAATTTTTCATCAACAATATAAGATTCAGGGGCAATCCAATGCTGAGTTCCCCTATTAGCAGCGCTTACATGTGTCTGAGAGTCATTCTTCATAATTCGACTAATACCAAAATCGGCTATCAAAAATTTGCCTTGTGTGTCTCGGAGAACATTGGAAGGTTTCAAATCTCGATGAAGAATGGGACGTGGACCGCTATGAAGATCAACTAATCCTTTTAAAATTTGTTTAAGAATGTCGGGAAGTATGTTTTGAAGGTAATCCAAACTGTTTGAATTTGATTCCACGTATTCCTTCAACGATTCTTCACATAGATTGAGAATCAAATGGATATATTCTGTTCCTGTATCTTGTCTCAAGCAATAATAATTTAGCACTTAAATGAAGATATGATCTTCGCACTTTGCTGGACAATTTAAGCAATCGTCTCAGGACCTGAAAAAATCAGGTGACTCAACGGGATTCGAACCCATGACCTCTGCGGTGCTCTGACCTACTGAGCTATGAAGTCACACAGTGGTGAGCAGGTCAATATTGTTGGGCTCATGTTTTCTCGTGAAAGGAATGTCATATGAATGTTTTATGCAGTGCGGTATTTGAAATCAAATGAAGACTAATACCAAAATCGGCTATCAAAAATTTGAGTCACCTGATTTTTTCAGGTCCTGAGACGATTGCTTAAATTGTCCAGCAAAGTGCGAAGATCATATCTTCATTTAATTTCAAATACCGCACTGCATAAAACATTCATATGACATTCCTTTCACGAGAAAACATGAGCCCAACAATATTGACCTGCTCACCACTGTGTGACTTCATAGCTCAGTTGGTCAGAGCACTGCACCGGCACCGCAGAGGTCATGGGTTCGAATCCCGTTGAGTCACCTGATTTTTTCAGGTCCTGAGACGATTGCTTAAATTGTCCAGCAAAGTGCGAAGATCATATCTTCATTTAATTTCAAATACCGCACTGCATAAAACATTCAAATAATTTAGCACATAATCCGACTTCTTAGCATTGATTTCATTAAAAATTTTTTCTTCGTGCTGTGCCTAATAAGTATTATCACGAAGAATTCGTTTCACTGCTTTACCGTAACCATCCTTTCCCAGTCCAAGATAAACACGGGTTCCATCACTTCCTCTACCGATGCAAAACTCTTCTTTAAAAATTACACGTACATCGTCCACATGTTTAACCTCAACATTAGGGTCTTTCCCATACTCAATTAATTTTAAGAGCAATTCTTTATGTTTTGTCGATTTATCATTGTATTTCCATTCATGCAGCTGCAATTCTGAAATAGAAGTAAAAGTATTCCATTTATAGAGAGAGTAATAAGTTGTAGCTAAATAGTCAAATAATAAATAAATAGCAGTGCTCGAGTTTCCTTACTGCACCAACGATTCAGATAGTATATGCAATTTGTAAAAAAAACTTACAAAACCACAAATAAACATATTACGACCATTTATTTAAGCAATGAGGTCTGATAAGAATGGCTCTAAAAAGCTCTTACACGGAAAATTTCACCCAGGTCTTTTACTCATATCATGAGGGTATTGTTTTGCAAAATGGAAAAACAAAAACTAAGACTAGTTTTTGTAACTAAACGAAAAGTTATTAGCTATTTTGCATAAACGTTTAAAAAGAGAGTGTGTATTCCACATTGAATTCATGCTAAACATTGAACACGGCAAACAAGTTTTACGTGAATTTCAAAGTAGATATTTTCAATCTTTCACCTTAAATTTATAGTATTTGTTAATTAACAAATTTGTCTCTTAATTAAGCTGAAGTCATGTGCATTTTGTACCTTGGTTCTTTTTTCTTTCATGAACTTCTTGTAATCTTGTTGTCATTGAATCCCTTAAGTAATAACGCTCTTCTTCATCGTATATTTGCACCAGACGCTCCATGACGGTCGTTTGTTTTTCTATATCTTCATCTTTTGTGACCATCTCCAGATATGTTTCATAAATTTCTACTGCTTCCCTATATTGCTCAAGTTTATCAAACAAGTGTGCTAATTCCCATAAAACAGCCAACAATCCACTGACAATTCCAGCTGAAGTGACAATTGACAAGTTCTTCATGTTGAGGTTGAGGAAATCTTTACCAACGTTAATACCACCAACTTTTCTTGGTCGTCGCGGTCGTTCACGCCGTTTATTTTGTTCTTGTTGATTTCCTTGTTGATTTTCTTTCCGTTGTCGAGGTTGCATTTCTTCTTCTTTGTGTTCACAATCAATAAAAGAGAATCCTTTTCTATAATGCTCCAAAGATTGCTCATAATTTCCGAGCGACTTGTTCAATCCTCCCAATGCAATATGGCAGAGACATTCCATTTCATCTTTCTTCATTGCGTCCTCCAATCTTTTAATGGTAGAATGAACACTCCCCAGGCCAAGGTATACTTGTTCAAAATATTCACTTTCAACTTTAGACGAAAATTTTAAGCAATGATTAAAACTGTTCAATCCCTCCTCGCAATTATCAGAGAGTGTGTAAGCATTACCAAGACCAAAATATGCTATCGTTTTCAGGCTATTTTCGTCTGCAACTTCTACACAATTATTGTAATGTTCAATAGCCGTTTTATAATCGCCATTATTCATAGAACAATTCCCTTCTTCCAAGATCCCCATAACTGCTGGAACCGTGAAAGCCTGATCTCTTCTAGTAATAATGCAAAAATTTATCTAAGTTCTCCAATGTTCTTCATGTGAACAGCAAACTTTTCTTTATTGTACTCATTTTTTTGCGCCAAACATCAAAGTTAAACTGTTTAACTATATAAGGCAAAATTATGAGCTTTATTTAGTCCACTCTTTAGTTTCAAAATTACAATAGAGGAAATTAGTTTGTGGAAGTTTAGAGCAAGCAAATGAGAGATCTGACTAACATGTACGAAGAGTGTGTGTAGGGTGTTATATACCAATAAATTAAAGATAGGGCAATTTTGCAAATTGAAGGCAAATCAATTCTCAATAATGAATGTTTTAACATTCCCCCCTCCCGATGAGTTTCGTAAGTTAATTAATTCATTAAAGTGCCCACTTCAGCAACATTGAAGTTAGGAGTGATTTCCACTGTATTTGTAAAAAAAGTTTTTAATTTTCTCAAATCGCTCCATTTTTAAGGCTGTTTAATCTAGGCAAAATGCTACTTTTTATGGAGCTTGTCAGTCGCTTGAAAAGTCTGGAACGACTTACTTTTGTAACGTCATGCAAAGTATTCATCAAGATGTATATACCAACCACTTGTTTGTCGGTAATTACACGTTGCAAACCCCCCACTCCCACAGTCACGAAAGTCACGCATCAAGACAATACTTAATACTTCTAACTTTGTAAACTTCTTAAAGCTACAATACATTATTTAGCATATGAAGACAACGCAAGATGCGACAACTTGAAATTGAATATAATATTCGTAGAATTCGTAGAATTCGTAGAAATTCGTAGATTAATATATCTAAATTGGGACATTTGCTCTAACTCGTATCTAATACATATTTGAGCAACATTACACATGCATAAACCAAGATGCGTCAATACCGAAACGTGCTTTGAAAAAACCTCAGCGTTTTATTCATGAATTTGTAGTAAGTAATGATTTTTCTAGGAAAGAAAACCAAACAAAAAAATTAAGGCGCCAATTTTTTTAATATAGAAGTATATAAGGTTGACCAGGATCAAAAAATTTTAAAATGTCTCGTAGTACAAAGCCCTCGGTGCAGTCCAATCTTAATTCGTATGTAGTTTCCAAATAGGGAGGTACCCACACGTCACAATGCATTGTAAATTACAACTTACATGACAAACTTATTATAAACCCCAAAGTTCAGGTCTACAGCGCGATGAATCTGTGTCAAAAGAAAATCACAAGACGCACAAAAATCAAATTCTTATAATCCGTTGGCCTTAGTTAGATAGTATACGGAAAAAGCGCATGATTGATTCTTTGGAAGCTTCAAAAGATATACATTTGATAAAAGTTGCATTTAATCTATTCGAGATTGCAGTAATGCAGCATAGATAATTGGTTAATGATAAACTATCTCAAAAGGTTGATTCTTCTAATTCTCATCAATAAGGTGCTTCACGTTTATGAAATAAACTTATCAACCTATAACTCTAAGTATTGAAGTCATTTCCAAGCATATTCTTTTTCATTAGAAAATTTGCTTGCGTGTGCTCTTCCTGCCACGTATATCATACCACTCTTGTCATGAATACACGTTAACAAAGTAAAAACCTATGTTATTGCCTTGTTTTATGAAAATCGAAATTCTGCATTTGACTAGAGACTAAAAACTGTACAAGAAATACACCAATTATTATGAAATGGTTTTCGTTTGATTCAACACTATTGACTTCTTCACCGATTTACTATCGTCTGACTACAAGCATCAAAACAACGAGAATGATTTGTTTTGCAAGTCCTCATACCGACATAAATTTTCTCAATTTGAAAAGATAACAGCAAGATATAGTGACCTGACGACCCTTGGTGGCGGAGATTGGAGGAGTTTTGAAAGGGCTTAGTTTAAATTTTACACGCAAATGCTTTCGAAAATGCCTTTGGTGTGAGCCATAAGCAAATACATTAGAGGAAACACAAAAAACAGTCGGTTATTCATCACATACATCACCATAAATTTGGTCCAAACAGCGAAACAGAAAAGACAAATATTTCATTTTCTAAACCATTCAACTGGAATTTACTTTCTCTTTACCGCATTTTTCACCATATTTTAGCATATGATCCATTGTACGAAAACCGCTGACAATATGAGTCCATGTTGAGCTCTTATAGAAGATAAATGATCATTCATTTTCTCTATGCTTTCTTACTTGTTCTTGCAATCATTTTATAAACGCTTGTTTATTAACAAATTATTAAACGTTTCATAACTGTAGAAAATAAAAAGTATTACGAGAAGAATTATTAATTTGGATATGCTGATTGAATAGAATAGACAAAACAGTGGCTAATAAAATAAACATCAAATCCACTTCATTTGAACAAATAAATTCACGTGATGCATAACTATATGAAGGTCTCTTCACTCGTCATAGACAATCTTTAAAACTTGTTATCAACGAGATTTAGTCCCAACGATATCTGTAACGTTACTTGTGGTTAAAAACGCAACAAAAAAATTCCCAATTCCATGGAACTACTGTATAGTTATCGCATTTATATATTTTTATATTTTCCCAATAAATTGTTCACTTTATACGTATCATCGGAGGATTTGTACATGGAAGTAACTCCGATGAGTTTGGAGAAGATCACGAAAATTCAATCAAACTACGAATGTGCCCCAAGTTAAATATATAAATATATATATAAATTGGGACAGTTGCTCTAACTCGTGTTAAATACATATTTGAGCAAAATTGCGCATGCATAAACAAAGATGCGTCAATACCAAAACGTGCTTTGAAAAATTCTCAGCGTTTTATTGATGAATTTGTAGTAAATAATGATTTTTCTACGAAAGAAAACCAAACAACAAAATAAAGGCGCTATTTTTTTAAATATAGAAGTATATGAGGTTGACCAGGATCAAAAAAAATTTAAAATATCTCGTAGTACAAAGCCCTCGGTGCAGTCCAATCTTAATTCGTATGTAGTTTCCAAATAGGGAGGTACCCACACGTCACAATGCATTGTAAATTGCAACTTACATGACAAACTTATTATAAACCCCAAAGTTCAGGTCTACAGCGCGATGAATCTGTGTCAAAAGAGAATCACAAGACGCACCAAGAATCAAATTCTTATAATCCGTTGGCCTTAGTTAGATAGTATACGGAAAAAGCGCATGATTAAATCTTTGGAAGCTTCAAAAGATATACATTTGATAAAAGTTGCATTTAATCTATTCGAGATTGCAGTAATGCAGCATAGATAATTGGTTAATGATAAACTATCTCAAAAGGTTGATTCTTCTAATTCTCATCAATAAGGTGCTTCACCTTTATGAAATAAACTTATCAACCTATAACTCTAAGTATTGAAATCATTCCTAAGCATATTCTTTTTCATAAGAAAATTTGCTTGCGTGCGCTCTTCCTGCCACGTATATCATACCACTCCTGTCATGAATACACGTTAACAAAGTAGAAACCTATGTTATTGCCTTGTTTTTTGGAAATCGAAATTCTGCATTTGACTAGAGAATAAAAACTCTACAAAAATACACAAATTATTATGAAATGGTTTTAGTTTGAATTGTTATTGCCTAAATAATTCTTACTTTGAATCCGGTGAGTTGCAAAGAATTATCCTGTTAAAAATATAATCTGAAGATTGTACTCGGAAAATAGACATATAAATAAGGAAGAAAGACAGGCTTTATGTGATCAAATTTAACTTCTGACACAATGAATTTTCTAATGAACGAAAAAATCCGCAAAATTCAACCTTACGTTTTAAAGCGTTCCGGTTTTTAATATCAACTATTAATGAGAGTACAATACAACTAAGTCTGCAAAACTTACAAAAAATTCTTCGGTCTTCAAGTAATTCAACACTATTGACTTCTTCACCGTTTTTACAACCGTCTGACTACAAGCATCAAAACAACAAGAATGACGTTTTTGCAAGTCCTCAAAACTACATAAATTTTCTCAATTTGAAAAGATCACAGCAAGATATAGTGACCTGACGACCCCTGGTGGCGGAGATTGGAGGAGTTTTGAAAGGGCGTAGTTTAAATTTTACAGGCGAATGCTTTCGAAAATGTCTTTTGTGTGAGCCATAAGCAAGTACATTAGAGGAAACACAAAAAACAGTCGGTTATTCATCACATACATCACCATAAATTTGGTCCAAACAGTGAAACAGAAAAGATAAATATTTCATTTTCTAAACCATTCAACTGGAATTTACTTTCTCTTTATCGCATTTTCATCATATTTTAGAATATGATCCATTATACGAAAACCGCTGCCAATATGAGTCCATGGTGAGCTTTTATAGAAGACAAATGATCATTTATTTTCTCTATGCTTTCTTAATCGTTCTTGCAATCGTTTTGTAAACGCTTGTTTATTAACAAATTATTAAACGTTTCATAACTGTAGAAAATAAAAAGTATTACGAGAAAAATTATTAATTTGGATATGCTGATTGAATGCAATAAACCAAGCAGTGGCTAATAAAAAAAACATCAAATCAACTTCATTTGAACAAATAAACTCACATGACGCATAACTGTATGAAGGTCTCTTAACTCGTCAGAGACAATCTTGAAAACTTGTTATCAACAACATTTAGTCCCAACGACATTGGAATTACTTGTGGTTAAAAACGCAACAAAAAAGACTCCTATTTCCATGGAATTACTATATAGTTATAGCATTTATATTTTTTATTTTTCCCAATACAATTGTTCACTGTTATAGATATCATCGGAGGATTTGTTCATAGAAGTAACTTCGATGAGTTTGGAGAAGATCATGAAAATTCAAACTATAAATGTGTCCCATTTTTTAATATTGACAAGAATACACCCCACCCAGGATTGAAAAAACTTACACATATTTCTCTTGTTTTCAAGTGCTGCAATAACTTTAATTTCTCCACCGTTTTTACAAAAAAAATCAAAGAAATAAGACGATGAAAATTTAGGGCGGAATTCATCCATAAAAGACTATGATCAAAATGCTATTGTTCAAATTAAATAAAAAAAGTGTATGCAACTGTGGTTAGCTATCAACCTTGGAAGTTGGCTGACTGTAAATTTTGCCTGTGACACACCACAAAGTGTATGCAACTGTGGTTAGTTATCAACCTTGGAAGTTGGCTGACTGTAAATATTGCCCGTGACACACCACAAAGTGTATGCAACTGTGGTTAGCTATCAACCTTGGAAGTTGGCTGACTGTAAATATTGCCTGTGACACACCACAAAGTTTATGCAACTGTGGTTAGTTATCAACCTTGGAAGTTGGCTGACTGTAAATTTTGCCTGTGACACACCACAAAGTGTATGCTACTGTGGTTAGTTATCAACCTTGAAGTTGGCTGACTGTAAATATTGCCTGTGACACACCACAAAGTGTATGCAACTGTGGTTAGTTATCAACCTTGGAAGTTGGCTGACTGTAAATTTTGCCTGTGACACACCACAAAGTGTATGCAACTGTGGTTAGTTATCAACCTTGGAAGTTGGCTGACAGTAAATATTGCCTGTGACACACCACAAAGTGTATGCAACTGTGGTTAGTTATCAACCTTGGAAGTTGGCTGACTGTAAATATTGCCTGTGACACACCACAAAAATAGCTACGAATTTCTCTTATAATGTTAAAAGATTAAAAAGGCACTTTTTCATGTTAACTACGACTTCTACACGATTATTAAAGCTTGAAGACATTAAACCTAATGAAAAATATTAGTAAAAATGCAATAAAGCAACAATTAAACCACAAATGATAAAGTTTACACAAATTTGACATAGCAACTTGGTGGAAAATATGACGTTTTACTCACGTTTCAAAAACTTTATAGTTTTATGATATTTTAAGTCCTTTCATTTTGAACATCTTTTTGTGACTACAGTGTAGATAATTAAATAGATAAGTTCACGTATCTTCGTTTTGTCAAAATAAATTTACAAGAAAAACACGTTAAAATAGAGACGTTCATAGCAGATAAATTTTTGATGGAAAAATCCCTAAGAAAGTTAGAAACAATACCCAATTTGCGATTGGAGCGCAATGTATCATGAACAAAACTAAAAAACTTTACATACGTTTAGGAAATACATTTTCTGGAAAATCCATACGCTCTAAGTACCCCAAGTACGTAACACCAGAAAAACGGAAAGAATTGAAGCCAAGTTAAATATTGGAGTGGCAACTTCTCGTTCGGACCAGCAACTCCGTATGCTTCAAGTAGCCATGTAACACTAGAAAAATAACAAGAATCCAAGCAATATTGAACAACAAACCATGCTAGCTAATTTTTTTTGAAAAATGTATAAAATTTCCAGCTTGTAGTAACAAACCATCTAAAGCCTGATTCCAATTTGGTATTAATGCTTTAACAAGTCAGACTTTTCCTCCCTTCTAAATTTAGAAAGGTTCCCTTTTAAACATTGTACACTGCACTCACAGTGACTGCACAGTTGCTCCAAGTGAAATTTTTCTCTGAACATAACGTGCTGTAATATAAATTAACCTTTTTGCCTGCATAGTATTGTTGCATTGAAGCAATTTAATCGTTCAACATCGTTGAAGATTGCATTTACAACGTTTCTTTTTTTCTCCAACGGTAAAGCTCCATTGCTAATGAAATCACAATAGATGATATATTTTTAGTGCGGAACTTATATGCAAGAATTCCCGACCTGTAACATGCATACATGCATGTTGAAAAATACACAACAACTTGAATTATCTTTTCGAAAGCTAAGCAAAATTTGTTCTGTCGAAGAATTAGGAAGGAGATTCGCGAATTGTTAACCACGCGTAAATGTTGTGTTGTGCTTTTATTCAACAAAATTTTATGTTCTTATCTGATACCGTCCATCTGTTGTTTCTTGTCTCCTTTCATAACTTGTAGTTCTATAAAGAATGCAACCTAGTTACATATTAAACTACATCAGAAACCATATAACACTAGTTGGACTCAAGTCATCTGTTCAAGATAAAAATGAATACCACTTTGTGCAACAAACCATGCAAAGTGTACCCCTACATACACAAAAACCATGCAAAATGTATCCCTACATACACAAAAAACCATGAAAGTGTACCCTTACATACACAACAAACCATGCAAAGTGTACCCCTACATACACATCAAACCATGCAAAATGTTTCCCTACATACACAAAAAACCATGAAAGTGTACCCCTACATACACAACAAACCATGCAAAGTGTACCCTACATACACATCAAACCATGCAATGTGTACCCCTAAATACACAACAAACCATGCAAAGTGTACCCTTATGTGTACATCAAATTATGCAAAGTGTACCCCTACATACACAACAAACCATGCAAAGTGTACCCCTACATAAACATCAAACCATGCAAAATGTTTCCCTACATACACAAAAAACCATGAAAGTGTACCCTACATACACAACAAACCATGCAAAGTGTACCCCTACATACACATCAAACCATGCAATGTGTACCCCTATATACACAACAAACCATGCAAAGTGTACCCTTATGTGTACATCAAATTATGCAAAGTGTACCCCTACATACACATGAAACCATGCAAAGTGTACCTTACATACACAACAAACCATGCAAAGTGTACACTTATGTGTACATCAAATTACGTAAAGTGTACCCCTACATACACATCAAACCATGCAAACTGTCCCTACCTCTCCATGTACATCCAGTCTAACGACTTTCAATCCCAAAGCCATAAATGAATATATTTTGAAATTTAACTAAAAAAAAGAATGCTACCGATGAAAGAAAGCAAAAGGGAGACGGGTTTCTACAAATTTATGATGGTAGTGTTGCAGGCTGTTGCATGTTTATGATTAAGGAGTATTAATAAATATGTCATGTCTGAAGGAAGTTATGTTAACTTTGTATCATAGAACGTTTAGTTTGGGAATTATTTTAGTATATCATCCAATTATAACTGGTTTTATATACGTTACTCAGTAAAAAACCACTTACGAATTCAGTTGGTGTTTCTTACGAAGGTGGAACATCGCTTTTTAAAGATATCTGAAATATAAACATTGGAAATTAGACAAAAGGAAAGCAATTAAAATATTAAGGAGATATACAGTAATTCTTTTCATAAAAAAAAACAAGAAAAATTAACAAAGATTATGATAAGAAGCAGTAAACTACAGAAAACAAACATACAGCAAGAATTTGACGACAAGTAACATAAGATGAAATGAAACCAGAGCAGTTTCATAAAAAGATCAGAGCGATTCTCACATCACCACGTTGTTTAATTATGGTAGGAAATCAGATCTTTAAAGGTGAATACCAAAGTGGAAGGGGGATTGTACCAATTATCAGAAAAGAGAATACAATTTAAAAATATAACTACAGTGATAACGACCTGTGAAGATCGACCTTACTTTGTGACCAAGGAATGGTTACTGGCAAGATCGACCTTACTTTGTGACCAAGGAATGGTTACTGGCAAGATCGACCTTACTTTGTGACCAAGGAATGGTTACTGGCAAGATCGACCTTACTTTGTGACCAAGGAATGGTTACTGTGAAGATCGACCTTACTTTGTGACCAAGGAATGATTACTGGGAAGATCGACTTTACTTTGTGACCAAGGAATGGTTACTGGCAAGATCGACCTTACTTTGTGACCAAGGAATGGTTACTGTGAAGATCGACCTTACTTTGTGACCAAGGAATGGTTACTGTGAAGATCGACCTTACTTTACTTCGTGAGCAAAAAATGTTGTGAAGGGAGATCTTGCTTTGCATGCAAAAAAATTGAAAATATTTTCTTCAAAAACATAGCAAGACGTCTGTAAATCAACTGAGACGAGCAAAAATTAAAAAAAAACAAGTTTTACTTACATTTCCTTTGATGTAAGGTGACGGTGTCTGAGATTGTATTTTACCGATCTAAAATTGTTTAACGTAACGTTAGTTTTACTCAACCTAATGACCTTTACAATTTCTTCATGAACCTACCTACCATGAAAGCTCTTTCTTTGTTGGATCAATTGAATAGGTACCAACTGAAAACATGGAACACAAACAATAAACGTTGATGGGAAACTTCAATGAAGAGTAATGAAATGAGTGTTTTACCGTTTGTAGTCAAGTTAAGGTTGAGAACTTGTTTAGGAAATGAAACAGTTACGTTAACATTCTCAATCTAAATCAAATATGGAAGCTTTGAGTGATATGACCCTGACAAAGTTATCATACAGCACATTTGATTTAATATTATAATGTTTGAACGATATAGTTATCTTTTTGGACAAACTTGAACTATACACATACATACATGAAATGTATTCAGAAACATATTCCAAATAAAAGGTTCATGTTCATCTCAATGTTTGAGAAACAAACAAGACAGTTTTTCTTTCATACACTAATTGTTCAAATTTATCGCAAACTTAAGGGTATGATGACAAAAACATGGCTAAGAAGTTTGCTATAAAAAAAGGTTCTTACTTGCTGTCTCCAGTGACTTTGTTAACAACATTTCTAACTATACTAGGAGGTCTTATCAACTCTTTAAGAACATTTGATTCTGTTGCAAGAGGAAATCCATTATTTAACATCTCTTCTAATAACTGAAGGATATAAAAATATAATATCATACTTCACATCACACAAAGCAGAAAATAATTGACATTCATCGATGAAACAGCTGGTCTCTCTACAAAATATACAAATAAGTCTTGTTTAAACAAACCTCATATGAAATGACATAAATATTCTTTGATTAAGTCAACCACTCGATGAAGAAATTCGATCACAAACAAAGGTGGAACTGGAAAGGAATGTTTTCACTTTATCAATAATAATAATCATGACAGACGGCTAAATTATTTTGGTCAACCATTCAGAATGCCTAATGTATGCCTTTTGTAGAATGATAACACTTCCTTTCAATGTATATATGTCAGTATGCAGTACTTTTGCAATCAATACTGGCAATCAATCTCTTTCCATTGTCATTGAAATAACCTTTAAAACAATATTCATCAAATATGATGTAATATAAACACAAACCTTTACATATTTCAACAACAGAAACAAAGAAGAGATCATGGCGAAATATACTGATAAGACAACTGAATCCTGTTGCAATTACAGGAGGAATGTCTTCAGGAGATTCGGCCTAAAAAATAAAACTAAAAAGTTGATATATGATATATGATATTTAATTTGTTTAGGAGCATTTTTGTCAGAAAAATATAACATGAAAACCGTTCATGAAAGTACCTTCTCAACCAAACAAACACAAACACAAACAACATTTACACATATATTCATTCACCTTTCCTTGAGCTTCGAAAAAATAATCACAAACAGAGCGTCCCAAAACACTTCTCGAATGTTTTTCCAGAAATATATCCCTAAATGTACGAGAAAGATACGATATGACCCACTGTCACCATCTTTAAGATACGATATGACCCACTGTCACCACTGTCACCATCAATAATGTTGTGATAGCAAGTAAATAATTGTGGAAACTGAAATCATTGCAATGCACTTGGATACATCTGCCTGACGTCAAAAACTGTAAAATTACTGATACCAGCTATTGTTTTATGATTTTCTTGTCATTTTGTTACTGTATTGACCATGTCACGTGACGGTAGATGACTCTCAATCTCATCCTTTAATATGTTTAATTTAAAATATCTTACTACATTTTCGCTATTTCATCTCACTCATATAAGCATAAATAACTTTTCACGTCAATAACAAGCTTTATGAGCAAAACCAACTAAAGAATAAATTACAAAAACCAATTCAGTACTCACCCTAAATGGTTGATGTAAACAAATTTACGATGGTATTTTTATTCAACGGTGTTTCCATTTAACAAAAGTAAGTATTCCTCTTCCTAAACCTAAAGAGCACTCGTTGTCGATGTCGTACTCTTGCTAAAGCTCCCTAATGTCTCGAGTCGGCGAGTCCATATCAACATGAGGAAAACTTGGTAAAATCATGTATATTTGTGTATATCATATTCTGCGAACGTGAATTGTGTGCTGACAATACCATTCAGTGTATTGTAAGATTGTAAGATATTGTCAGCACACGCTAAACAAAGATACACCCAGGATACTGTCCGTGTGTTCCACACTAGGAATCACGAAGAAGTATTTTTACTGCAATATCTGACAATGGTTAAAAGTTACATTAACACACAGAAAACACACACTTTACTTTCTGTTGTTTATTGAAAGCAGAAAGAATATTCTATGAATTTGATTCAGACATTTTCCATATTTTTATAGTTAATCGTACCTTTATTTTACTTTTACCTTCTCATGTCATCCAGTTTACAATAAATCCAAAGGCATACATGAAGAACTAAATATGTTTTACAAAAAATCAGGAAGTTTAAATTCGTTTGTCACTTCTGTCATTATCAATTGAATTTCGTATGGTCTCATGGGGGGTCGTGTAGATTTAAACCAAACATTTAACTTAATAAAGCTAGAAAAAGTTAAACGATTTAATATCAACCAAATCGTATTTTTCTTGTTTAGCATCCATACTTCTTTGAGACGCGAGGGAATATATAAAAATAATTCATAAATTCTTGATTTGCGCACATTTACTTCCTTTTAACGATTATTTTTTATCAGAATAATTATGTTAACCTATATCACGATAAAAAGTTAATATTTGAAACATACATCCAAAAACATTTTCTAAAAAACTGTCAATAGCTTTAAAAAATGCTTGCATCTTGACAGCACATATGAACCAATCAAAAAATATTTATATTAGGACAAAATTACGTATCCATATGCTTTAAATTTATGTTTTCTCACTTTTGTGTAGATCTCTACTTTACCCTCAACAGATCAACTTTATTATAACTTGCTGGTACATTATCTAGGAATGCTGCAATTGCTGTATTGAATGAAGCCTGCCAGCTAATATCAAGTAGCTTATTGTGTATTAAACAACAACTGTCGTTTTTATCGACTTCTCTTGTTGGTGATTTTCCCGATGGTAGTCCAAAATTCCTCTTGTTTTAACATTTTCAATCAAGTCACATTCCGGCAAGGGACATTAAAGTTATTGTTTGTAGAACATATATGGTCCAAGATCATAATGCTTTGCATTGTGTCCAATTTTGTCACAACATTTATCTCTTTGTTTTTTTGTGCAAATTTCACAAATAGTTTGTCTCACAGGGTCACCCTTCCATGAATGCGCAAATGGACAATTCGAGGGGAAGTCTCTTGCGTTGGATTGAGTATGACGATTACATTCAGCAGATTTTCTAGCTCCTAGAACAACAGCTCCATGTTTTATTCTTCCATTTTTCAATATTTTAATTGGAGGAAAAGTCAGCTGATTTCCTTCTGAAGTACGGAATGTTTTGATATATTGTGAATTTTCTTTAACATCTGCTAATCGATCATCGAATGGATTAATATTTGATGAAAAACTGGATTCTGGAACTAAATCATCTTTATCTTCTGGATCTGGACCAGTAGGCATATCCAAGGCAACATTAGTTTCTTTGATCTTATGTAGTGTTGGGGAGTGTTTTGACCATGCATTCCCGAAAGCCATGTCGTCTTTTTGTAAACTATTTTGCTTCTGTTCAAATTGCTTTTGCAATTCCATATATGTATCTTTCCCAATTGGGTCATAAGCATAAGGTCCAGTAATGGTAAATCCCAAACAAAACCACAAATCATCCCAGCTGATGTGTGGATACTTCTCAT